TGAGAATGTTTCAATTTTAAAATGATTTTATATACTTGTATATATTATATATATTATATATATATATACATACATACACACATGCATACGTACATACACACACATACATACATACACTCACAGACACACAGACACAGACACACACACATATACATACATATATACATATATATATGTGTATATATATATATGGAAAGAGAGAGAGAGAGAGAGCCATAGATAGATACATAGGTATATAGGCTCTGGATGTCTTTATCCCAATTCCTACCATTAGTAGAAGGTTGGGTCCCCAGATGAGGGATACTTCTCCTACCTCAGAGTTCTAGGGGGTAGTTCTGGGAGGTTGGGGATATATTTCTCTAGTACCATTGCTTATGAACCCCATCCAGGGAATTTTCCCCAATATATCATACTCAGTTAATATTTTCCCAATATCATTTAACCAGTAATCACTATCCCAATAACAATTGCCCAGTTGCTCCTCACTATCATTAACCAACTGACCAACTGATTTCCCCTCAATGTCAATTAACCAATTAATATCAATTAGCTTTTACAAAGACTTCAAAAACTTCCCCCCCCCAAACTAGGGTATACTCTCTGCTACATACTCTTATGATCCCTGAAAGAGTAGGCTCAAACTTGAAGTAGTTACAACAAAGCACTGTTCCCCACCAAGTTCACTTCTGAGTATGGCATAATTAGTGGATGAGTAGTTTTTTTGCTTTTCAGATATCATATCTGGTCTGCTGGGTTGATCCATTGTTGGGCTGGGTCAAGCAGGTTACACATGCTTGGCTCCTCACTGGTCTTTGCTGTTGTGGGCAGGCAAAATGACATAGACTGCTGTTGCTGGGTGTCTTGGCCACATAATGGTTTGGGCAGAAAGATAGGGCTTCCATAGCAGCTCCTAGCACATTTCTGTTGACACCAACTCTTCACCCAGGAATCTACAACATTTCTTCCTTCTCACTTGAAATCCATCAAGGTGATAGTTCTTCCCTTTGTTTGAGCCTACACACTCAGTTTTGTCTCAGCAATTAAGGGACTTTTTATCATCAAAGAATAAGCTCTGCAATGCTCTGAATTGAAGAAAAAGCCCCTTCAATATGCATGCCCAGAAGCAGGCTCACCAAGCTTCTGTGTGGATTACTAGGCAAAGCATATTGTGCATCATCCTTTAAGGACTGGGCCTTCACTGGCCAGTCACCTTGTTATATTTGCATAGAGGACAGAATGCTGGACTTGGGAGTCAGAAAGATTTGGGTTTGGTGGAAAGAGTTCCCATCCCAAAGAAATAACAGGTCCTTAATTTATTAATGTAGAGAGCAAGGAACTTGGTAATTAGAAGATGGGTTAGAATCCTGGTTTTACTACAAGCTGTATGTTCATGGATCACTAAATCTGGAAGGGTCCTTAGGGATCTCTTAGTTCACATTTTAGAGACAATGAAGACAAAGCCCAGAAAGGAAAGTGACTTTACCAAAGTCACATGATTAGGCAATAGTTGTATGAAGCAGTGGGTGATCACTTTATTTTTATAAGCCTCAATATCTTCTTCAGAGTAATAGGGATAATAATAGCTGTCTTATTATTATTGGTTTGCTGTGGGGTTCAAATAAGACAATGTACGTGAAACAGCTTTTAAAATAGATAGCACAAGGGGCAGCTGGGTGGTGCAGTGGATAGAGATCCGGCCTTGGAGTCAGGAAGACCTGAGTTCAAATCTGGCCTCAGACACTTGACACTTACTAACTGTGTCACTTAACCCCAATTGCCTCACCAAAAAGCAAAAAAAAAAGAAAAAATGGATAGCACAATACAAAAGTAAAGTGATATAGTTAGGAAACTTTATTCTCAACTTTAGCATTGTACCTATGTAAAACTACATTTACAACTGGTTTCCAAGGAAAGTGGCAAGATCTTTCCCCTCAATTTATGTGAGAATGCAATTCCCATATAAATTTAAAAAAAATAAAAAGGACAGTACTTTTGTATAAAATTAGACATGGCTTTTTAGATGTAGACGTGAGTGAGTAACAATTTCCTCTCCTTTCCTCTCAACAACAAATAAGTTACCACTATATTTGTAGTGTCTCTTCCTATCCAAGAGGCAGTCTGGGATGGTGGATAGAATATTGGATTTGGGGACAGGTTCAATTCTGCTCTGACTTTTAAAAAAAGTATGAAAAAGCATTTACTAAGCACACATTATGTGCCAAGTACTGTGTGAGGTACTGGGGATACAAATACAAAAATGAGACAATCCCTGCCCTCAAGAACCTTAACTTTTTAATAGGGGAAGACAACACATGTTGGTGAGTAGTAGCCAGGGAAGGAAGTTTTTGTCTGGAGAGTTATAGGAATGGTGTGTACAGTCATAGGCCAGTTAATTGTCCTGTCCTTTGATGAAACAATAGCAGTACTGATTACTGTTCTCCAAGCAAAAGGTAGAAATGATGGGAGTAAACCAAGCAGCAGAGGAAAGGGCAAGATGTATGCGGTGGATGGACAATAGTGGATAAGATAGCTCAACCCCAGGGTAGAGTGCCAAAACTTAGGTAGATTAATTCCAGGAGTGGGGTAGATGTGGGGGGGTGCATGATTTCCACTGGCCATTGTTTCAAATCAGACCTTCACAATTTGACAGTAGGTAGGGACCTGAGATAGGTTAGACTACAGACAGACTGACAATGGTTGACTGCCGTCACGTGACAAATAGGATTGTGAGCAGTGGTAACCACACATTTTTTGTGGTATACTTGAAAGGACTGCAAGTGGCCTGCTGGCTATATTTTGTGCAGTCCTGTTCCAAGGACTGGAGAAGAGGAGAACATCAGCTGGGTAGATGGCAAGATATTTAGAGTAGGATATAGCTTGTTTAGGCCTAGGAACTTGAACTCAGTGTTGGTAGCTAGCTGTTTTCTAACTTTCTTGGCTTTGGTTTCTATATATTGAAAACCATTTTGATCTTATCTTCAAAGTTCAAAGATGATTCTTTTTTGTTTTCTCTTGAGGCCTGCATTTTTATTTCAAAGTTCCAAGTCAGTTCTAATGTTTTCATCAAGAATTCTTCAAAGTCCTCTATTTCATTAAAGATTCCTTTTTCCCCCCTTCTTGGCTTATGTTCAGTTTTGTAGGGTAAATTATCCTTGGTTATAAGCCTTTATCTTTTACCTTTCGGCATATCAAATTCCAAGATTTTCCCCCCGATTTATAGTAGTTGCAGCATAGTTTTATGAGATGTTCCCTGTGGTTCCTCCTTGTTCAAACTCTTTCTTTTTGGCTAATTGCAGTAATTTTTCTTGGATTGGCTATAAAATTTCTGACTGTTTTTATTTAGGGGTTTCTTTTAGGAGGTTATAGGTGGATTCTTGCTATTATTCATTTTGTCTTCTGGTTCTAATAGATTTAGGCAGTTTTCTTTATGATTTCTTGAAATATGGTATCTGGGATTTTTTTTTTTAGGGGGCAGTAGTCATGGTTTTCAGGGAATCCAATAATTCTTATACTATCTTAACCTGTTTTCCAGGTCAGTTGTTTTTCAAAGTACCTTACATTTCCTAGCTTATTTTTCTATTTTTTCAATCTTTTGACTTTGTCCTAATACTTTTTGCTGTCTTGTAGAGTAAATTTAATTCTGAATGCTCTATTCTATTTTTTCATAAATCTATTATTTGGATACGGTTTTCTATATTCTTTTCTAAATTATTATTCTATTTTTTTCTTCTAAACCTTTAACTTCATTTTTTATTTCTCATTGTAGAGATAAGGAGTAATAAATGTTCCCAGGTAAAGCACCTCCTCTACTTAGGAAGCCTGCAACATTGGTTTGGGTTGGCTCATATTCTTCCCCTGAAGGTAAGTCTTCTGCCTTTGGGATTCCCAAAATAAAATTAGCCCTTGCAACCTCCGAACCTGGAGGATTGGTCTGGGCAGGGATACAAAGAAGGCGCTGAGTAAGAACTGGGCCAAAAAGTCAACCTAAACTTTCTTTCTCCAAAGGGGAGGTGGGATAGTTAGTGCGTGTGTACATTTAACAGGGCGACAATGCTACCTTGCTCAGCAGGAGGAAGCCCGTTAGGATTTTTGCATCGGGCGCCCGCCGGGGGTCTCGCAGTAGAATTCCGACACACACACAACCCCAGGGGCGCGCGCCGCCGCGATCCGTGGTTCCGGGCAGCGCGCGCGCACACCCGCCCGCCGGCTCGCCCCAGCTTCTGCCGAGGCTCCAGCCTCGCGTCTCTGCCACCGCCTCTTCCTTCCTCGTCAGTGCGCATGCTTAGTGCCCGGCCTCGCCGGGGTGAGGGGGAATAATGAGAACCTGGGCAAGGGGAAGGGAGAGCCTAGGATTTGGAGGAAGAGAAGCTCGTCATCGCTGCCGGAGCGCTCTCCGGGCTGGTCTCCTGGGAAGCTGAAGGGGTCGCCGGTGGGGAGGGGGAGGAAAAGGGAGCGTCCCGTCCTGGTGTCGAAAGAAGCCTGCGCATCCCGGCCCGCTCCGTGTCCTCCGTGCCCTCCTCCACACGGAGATGGCTCCGGGGCTGAGCCGGATCGGACTGCGGGGCGCGGAGCGATGAGGAGAGCCCGGGCACCCCCGGCTCTGCCGCTTTGCGTCCGCAGCCGCGATCGTAGCGGGTAGTGGGGGCCTGGCGGGTGGGATGCGGGGCTGGGGCGAGGCCAGCGGCACCACCGCCGGGCAGCTAACCCAAACAAAGGAGGAAGTGCCAGCGGAGGCCCGGGCCGCGGCCCGCACCGGAGGAGGAGGAGGCGGCTGAGGAGAAGGGAGGAGGAGGAGGAGGACCCCGCCGCCGCCGCCACCGCCGCCGCCGCCGGCCCGGGCTCGGGCTCGGGCTCGGGACGCGGAGCCCCCGGCCCGGGGCCCCACGCGCCTGCGGGGAGTAGCGGCCCCTCCCGGCCCGGGCCGCGCCGCGAGCTGTCAGGGAGGGAGCCGCCCGGACTCGAGAGTCGGGCGGCCGCCGTCGCTGACCCGGCCCTGCCCTCGCTCCCCCACCCCCGATGCGGAGGAGCCGCCGCTGGGGCCATGCAGCCGCCGCAACAGCCCTACGACTTCTTCAGCGAAGAGAACCACCCGAAATGGCGGGGCCTCTTCGTCCCGGCCCTGCGGAAGGTCAGTGAAGGAGGGGGGCTGGTGGCGGCTCTGTCACCTTGCGGGCGGGACGCGGCGGCGCGTTCCTGGAAGCCAGGCTGCGGCCCCCCGGGGACAGGTGCCCCTGCCCCGGCTCCTCCGGAGCCAGGGGGCCGGGGGGGCCGACCCCGTGGGAAGAGGGACCCTGGGCTGGGTTTCTCTCCCTTCTTGGAGGTGTCTGTCGTCTAAGAATCCGTGCTGCTTTCCTCCAGAATGGTGACAAGTTTCTTGGCTTTCCCCTTTCTAACCCAGGTAGGGCAAAACTCATCTCGGCCCGTGGCAACCAAAGGAGCGTTTTGTGAATTTGATTTCTCGATTCTGCAAAGTTTATTTATTTTTTTAAATTTAGGATTCTAAAATTGTCTCCCCCGCTCCCCCAACATCCCTAGTAGATTTTCTTTCTGGCAACTTCTGTTGTCCAATTTGTTATTCGAAGAATGCCTTGACAGTTATTAGAAAATTTCTAAAGCAACACATTTATGGGCAAAATGATAACTTTTAATAATGAAGTTTCTTGAAGCTCTTTCCCAGGCTATTTGCTTCTCGAGAGTATCCACTTATTCTGTGGACCAATATTATTATTGTAATAACATGTATGTGTTTCACAGGTTTGTAGTGTCAGTGAGTCAAGTAAAATTCTCATTATCCACTTCTCAAAGTAAATTTAGAGTGGCCCTTCCCCGCTTTTTTCATGTAGTCGTTCCACTTTTTATAAGGGAAATCCATTGTGTTCATAACAGATTTCTCTTACAAAATTTGTTCACTGACTATTAGGTGTGAGTAAAACTTTGAGTCATTCTGGGGGCAAGATGAACATAAGCAGCCTTTGAACCCTACATAACATTTTCCATGTGAATGATGTCAGGCTGTATTTGTGTTTCTAGGTAGGCTTCAGTACTGAGAAGTTCTCATTAATACTTAAGAGCCCTCTACATCTTCCAGAATAACTTAGATCAATTCAAGACCTAAGATAAATTGAGATATAAATTGACCTATAAATTGAGATAGGATAATAAACTCTAGGGTAGGCTTATATGAAATTTTTATGAGTAATTGTCTTAAAGTTAAATATTAAAGCAGTTCTTGTACAAAAATATTATGAAACACTTGAATTACATACACTATTACTTGATAAGTTCATAGTTTCTGATTTTCAATTATCTTAATCCCAGTTTAGATAGATTCCTAGATCAAATTCTGGTCTCACCTCCCTGATAATTCTTGACCTTTCCCTGAACCACTCCATTCAGTGTGGGGATCTCAGTGCTTAATTCTCCCTTCCCTTTACTCCCCCCTCTCTTCTCTTCTCCGTTTCCCCCTTTCCTTTTTTCTCTTCTCTTTTCCCCTACTCTCTTATTTCCACTTCCCTCTCTCGTCTTCTCTACTCTCTCTCTTCTCCCTTCCCTCTCTCCTCTTCCCCTCCTCCCTCTCCTTCTTTCCCCTCCCTGTCCTTTCCTCCCCTCCCTCTCCTTTCCTCCCTCTCTCCTCTTTCTCCCTTTCTCTTTCCCTCTCCCTCTCTACCTGTTATTCATTTACCCTCTCACCTAGCACCTAAGATGCCAGCAGGTTGGGGATTCCCCAGAGGGCTGCCATTGCTCATTACTTTCAGGGTTCTGAGGGTAACTGGTAAGTTCCTTCTATTAACATATAGGAAAAACTGGCTATATCTTGGCATCTGAGATCATTAATGCCCCTTCTCTTCTTCAGTAAACTTTCAAGGTTCACAAATGGGTGTAACTTTTATGGTGTTGAAATGGTTGGGTTTCTCCATGGAGGGGTAGGATTAATTTCTCAAAGGGTACAGTCTCAGGTAAACAGGTTGATTTGTTGGATTGCTTTGCTGCTAGTCCTTTGCTACACTGGGCTCTTCCTCTGTTGTGCTGGGCGTATTCTTACTCTTTGATGGCATTAGTAGTACTTCCAACTCCAGGTCCAGCTGATGCTCTCAGTTAGTATGAAGTATGATCTTTTAGTAAGGACAGAGACCCTTAGTTTAGGATTCCCAGAAGTCTATGCAGTTCTACTTCTTTGGCTGGGCTCTGAGGTTCTTTCTTCTCCACCTCTGGCAGCAGGTAGTAGGATACCAGAGTATTTTTTCTTTTCTTCACCTTCTGGACAATAGGTGACAGTGCAGAGGATCATCTTCTTTCCTCTTATCTACCTCTTGATGAGTATCTTCTCCCCTCTTGTCCACCTTTTAGGTAGTAGGTGGCATTTAGGAAAGTATCTTTACCTTTCTCCTCTACATCCTGTGGCTAGTAGGTGGCGGTGCAGAAAAGTTTCTTTTTTCAATTTCTCCATTTGTGATTTTGCACAGCTCTGATGTTTCCTTTTTAAACCCAGTTCAGAAAGCTGTAGCTTCTCTTTCATACAACTCTGAAATCTATTCTTTTACCTTGTTACTTGGCCTTATTGTGAAATGTATCTTCATGGATTGTTCAGTCTTGAGAAACACCACTCCAACATAAATAGCCAAATTCTCATCTATGCAGGCTGAACCCAGATCAAGCAGAGTACATTTGTCCAGTAAAAGTTTTGTGTTTCAGAGATTTTCATATATGTGAAAACGAGCAACTAAAGCACAAAACACTTAATCTTACCCCCCATTGTCCCTTAGTTCTTCCCTGTGTCCTATGCAGAAGAGTAGTTGAAGCACAGACCCTTGAGGTGAGCCTTGCCTTAGGTAAATGCTTGGTACTTTCTCTGTTTAAGTCTAGTTAACAAGTATTTATTGTCTATTGTGTATCTGGTACTATGCTAACTGTTTTTTCTTTGCTTTGTCTTTTTCTTTTAATCATCAAAATTATCAAAGTCTGAAAGGAGCATCTCTTTATTCTTGTAAGGCTTTAATCCTTCCTGAGGGTAAATACCTTCCTGACCATGCTGCTTAGTTTCATTCATACAGATTATGGTTCTAGTTGGGGAATCTTAAAGAAGCAGCGTGCCAAAGTGCTAAAAGCTCTTAAAGTAAATTGAAGTACCATAGGTAGCATTCTGGGAGGGGAGAAAGGTACAGAATTTTAGGGGCAAACTCTTTTTTGCTTGGATAGCCCATGGAGAGTGGGGTGCTTACCAGACTAAGAACTACCTGTAGGTATGTTTTTTGAGTATGGTCAAATAGTGTGATACAGAAACATTTCTGTATTTTCCTAGGGTCTCCTGGCCCCCTTTTCTCCCTTGTGTACCTTCCAGTGATGCACAGCTTTGCACATTTTTCCAGGTTTTGTTTTTGCTGCACTTCCCTCATAATCCACTTTCCTCCTGAAACTCTTCCATGTAATCTGTAGAGCAGATTAATTATGACTTTCTTTTATCATTGATCCAAACCATACAGATTTCTAAAATATCTGTGTCACCAAATGTTTTATAGAATTAAAAAAGTTAATTTCTGCTTCTGAATTCTTAATATTTAGATAACAAATATAGATCCTTCAGCATGGTTTGTTCAATTGGATTGTATTCATGTTGTGCAAGTCCTTTAAAATTTTTAATTGAAAATCCATCTTTAAGGGGTTTTACTGGCATTGTCAGGATTTATATGTGAAATGGAAACACAATTTTCAGCAGTTCTTGATGATTTTAGTTAGTTTTAAGGCTCATATCTCAAAATATCTTGATTTCATCAGTCTGTGTATTACTTTCACTGATGCAAATTGAAACTCTTAGTAAATGATTTTATTAGTTACAGTAACAAAATAATTTGTTACCTCATGGCCAACCCTCTGAGTTTAGCTAGTTTGAGCCTTTATTCAAGCCTTGCCAGCTTAGTAGAGCCTGCCAGAACTTGTGTTTCACTGGTATAGCCTTTCAGAACCCAGAATCACTTCTACATCATGATAAGGCATAATAATAATAATAACAACAACAACAATAAAGCTAGCATTTATATAGCACTTTATAAATATTATCTCATTTGATCTTCACAACAATCCTTTGAGCTGCTATTATTATCCCCATTTTATAGATGAGGAAACTGAGGCAGACAGTGGTTAAATGACTTTCCAAAGGTCATACAATTAGTAAATGTCTAAGGGAGGATTTTAACTCAGGTCTTCTTGACTCTTCAGTCCAGTACTACATCCACTATACAATCCATCTGCCTCACAGTAGGGCCTTAGTGAGGGTTTAAAGTTAATACAAATTTGAAAATATGTAATACATAGGAGGTTAGAGGAAATTTCTTTTACAGTGGAAGTTACTGCATTTTTTATGTTTTAAATTCAAATTTTGAAGGATAAAAACATGAATAGAAATGGTGTTTTGCTTCTTCATTTTACCCCTATCTCTTAGATTGAATTCTATCTGGAAATTCATTTATAATTAGACTATCAGGCTATATAGTTCTAATCCTTCTAACTAGTGAGACCCTGTCTAAAAATAATTGGATATATACTTGCTTATAATATTGATCACTATAAAAAATGGAATTCTGTGTAAGAATATAGAATCCCAATCTTGAACCTAGAGAGAAGCAGTCAACTATACACTATCCTTTACCTTTGAATCCCTTGCTCCCTTGTCCTTTTGCTATTCATGCCTTACAAAATTGCAACTCTGGATTACCCCAACCATCTACTTTCTCTGTTCTTACATGGTGTTGGAGATAACACATAATTTTCCTGGCCATGTCTACCATTCCAAGGTAATTCTTTTACTTTTTCCTAATTGACTCTCTATCCTTTTCTTCCCATTAGCTGTTCCAAAACTTTTGTTCTCTTCTCAACCTCCAGTACCACCTCTTTGCCTCTCAACAAAAGACCTTGCCTCACGTATTACTAGAAACTATATCTTACTACTCATTTACATCATTTCCTATACTCTCCTCTTTACTCTAGTCTCTGCCTTTGTCCTCATCAAGGACACTGTTTCTACTTGTATCTCTCTTTCTCTTCCAGTAGCTTGTTCTCTTAACTCTTCCCTCTGATTTCCATTCCCTTCCTATCTAATGAATCTTTCTCTGCTGTATACCTTCCCTTCATTCT